CCAGCAGGAGGACCTGGAGGCTTGGGCGCTGGCCGGCTGGGCACGAGAGCTGCAACATTGACTGGAGGAGAGTTAACGACGGGGGAGGTCAGGCTGCGCGGAACGGGAGGAGGCGCACGCGGGTTTTCGAAGCTAGACTGGTCGTTCCGTGGGAATCGCGGACTCTGCGGGGGACTGAGCGGGGGCTGGTTGGAGCCGTAGTTTGCAGTCTGGGGCACAATGTTGGCCTGGTACGCGTATCCCTGAGGCTGCGTGGGGCCCATCTTGTCCCAGATGGCATCTTCCTCGTTCTTCTCGGCATTGTCCTTGTAGAAGTTGACCACGTCCATGACGGCCTGGGGGTGCTGCTTCTGCTCCTCCTGCGAGATGCCATTCTGCTGGAGCATGCGCTGCCACTCCTTGGGGAGGCCCTGATCTGTTAGCACACATATATCGGCAATGAGGGGCTACCCACCGTGTACTCGCCCGTGTGGTTGTCGATGCTGACGTGGGTGACGTGCATGGGGTTCGTGGGCGTCGAGATGGTCGGGCGGCGCGGCGAGCCCAGCATGCTGCTCATGAAGTTGGAAAAGGTGCCCTTCTTCTTTGCGCCGCCCGAGAGGCGCTTCTTGGCTGCATCGCCGCTGCCGTCGCTGTAGCGGTTCGTCTTGCTCGACGTGGTCGAGGGCGGGGTCGTCGTGGTGTCCATCTTGGAGGTGAAGGAGCGCGACTGGCGCAGGTAGCGGTTCTGGGCAGGCTGGTCGGTGTACGAGTGCTGGAGGGCGGGCCGCGGCTGGCTCGAGGCGTTCAGAGCTTCCTCGACGATGCGGTCGAAGGGCTGGCCGACGTGGACGGGTTGCAGGTCATAGGCATGCGGGTTGGGGGGCTCGTAGACTGGCCGCAGGGTGTGCGAGGGCGAGCGGGAGAGGCCTCGCGCTGGCGACTGCGACGAGGATGCTGCAGGTGCTACGCCAAGATTCGGCTGGAAGTAAGAGGCGGCGCCTATGGAGTAAGGTCAGTATCGCAGGCACGGTAGGAACACAGGAACACCACGCACTGGGCGCACGCTTCAGCGTCGTCGGGCCCTTGTTCAAATAGGCTATTGGCGGGCCTCGCTCTTTCGACGGCCCTCTCTTGGTCAGCCTCGTGGGCCGCGTTGATGACTTGTCGTCCATTGCGGGCCTGCAGAGTGTCCTAGTCAACGTCACACCTCGAGCCTGCGCAGCCGAGGGGGGCCAGGCCGGAAGGGGAGAAGAGAGAGGATGGGCGGCGCCGTGGGAAGCTCGCTGTCGCTAGATACGTGGAGAGGGGATGCACGGCAGAAACAGGTACAGACAGAAGTGATCGCAGCAGAAGCACAGATGGATCTGGCCGACTTCCCAGGGCTGGTTTTGCCGTGCTCAAGTCCTAGCTAGCGACTCTACCACCTAATCTCCACCAGCCCAGCTATACCTCCACCCTACTCCGAATACGTCTGTTTCAGGACGTGTTTCCTCTAATTTCTCAACGGCCTGCCGCCGCTGACTGAAGCCCGCCCTCTGCCCGTTGCGACGCAGCCCCCCGACTCATGCGCGCCCGCATTTGACGCCCAAAGAAGGTGTGGCGATATGCAGTAGCTCATGTCACGTCGACGTCTACACATGATCAAGTCGATTTGCTTGTCTTTCTCTTCGCATTCTGCATTCCTCGCAGCGCAGTATTCTTCGAAGACCGATGGACCCATTGACAGCGACCATTCGCGGCTAACCCAACACCATAGCCACGCCGTAAAGTCTATTCTTATACCTGCCATCCCATCGCGCCTTCCCTGGTAGACGCTCTCACTCTTGGTCGACGTGCGGCTCTTCCCGGCGTCGCATCTTTCACATGCTCGGTACCTGCTACCAACACCGATGCCCAAAAACACCACCCATCCTATCGCGTCTCCCGGGCAATACGCGCGATCATTACCTCACCATGGAAGCATCACTGCAGGGCAGACGCGTTTTGTAAATCGACTGGTAATGCCATGCAAGGCAGCGCCCGAGCTCCGAGACAGCCTCTTCCCCCCCACATCGCGCTATCTGTCGCTACGACTCCGGCCGCAGAGCACAGCGTCACGATAGCCTCAACCTTCACCCTCATGAAACACGCCACGCACGTCTCCTCTCCCACATGCAGGTCGCCGTGATACAGCATCCAACGTGCCAGCCCAAAGCACGCGAGACAGCAGTAAGTCATGCGCCAACAAATACTAATCCACCTGGGCAAGAACATGAAATGTCAAGGCAAGGAGCACGGCATCGCTCAACAACTCCGACCAGGCTCGCCTAGACGCTCCAAAACCAACGTTGCACGAACAACTCACTCCCGCTTTACGAGTCGACGAGTAATGGTCATGCAACAAGAGCCAGCATACCCCGAGCGCCGCGGCAACGGCCCATCTCCCGTTCTTCTAACGCACCCGGCCACGGCACTTTGCCCCGTGCACAACAACGCTCCTGCTCCTCTGAGCATCTAGGGGTTTGATCAGCCCGCCACAAAACTGCGCAAGGCTAACACACGCCACGTGAAATGATACGAGTCTGTCGATCTATGTCAGCTCTCCGGCACTCTTCGAGTCTGGATTCATCTGTGAAGGAGCCCGAAACAGCCACATCGTGAGCTATGACGATCACCGTCAAACATGCAGTTGGTCGTGCTATTTTTGCTTCTTCGACGTCATGGCTTCAACGTTCGGTTGTCGGCACGCTTTTACATCATCACCACACGTATTTGTAGTCGACGCGATGTATCGGCGCGTCTGTATAAGATGGATTGCAGCAACACCATAAACATAAGCCTTCTACACATTCAACCCGCATCGCGCTGAGGCTTGGCATTTTGTGAAGACTTTGCTTCTTGAAGAATAAGCATCTAGAACATGCACGTCGATAGAAAGGAGGCTTTCTCAACTCCTTGCTGTCTCTTCCAGATAGATGGATTCGTGGGGGTTACGGACTTCGCAAGCATAAGGTACAGTATTCAGGTTAGAATCTACACGAAACCTGTCACGAACCCACGACTAAACATACACCGCAGTATTGTTAGATTAGTTATCCATCTGCATGTCTGGAATGTACAGCGCGCATTCCTTATCTCATCAGTATTCATGTTTGCCATGCGCTCCTTATCCGTGCCGCCTCACTATTCCAGCCAATGCAACGTACTGTGGCACAGCAATCATCCACTCCTTTCCTCAACAACTTGGTATAGGCACGCACATGAACTGCATCACGGACTTTTGCGCTCACTCCTTTCGTAAACTGTACTCGTTCACTTCCCCTGTATTCTTGTTGACAACAGCTATGTTAGCGATATCTACCTGCTTCACCAAATCGTGGTATTGTTATCTTCTTCTTCTTCTTCTTCTTCTTCTTCTTCTTCTTCTTCTACTACTCCGGCAAATGTGTTCCACGAGATTCTAATGTGTCTGCTCCGATTACTCGTTGAGCGTCACGCGTAAATCCATCAGTCTACGAAGCGAGACCACGTCTACGATTCGCATTGCCCCTTCCACATAGTAGTAGTGTAGGTCAACTTAGCGAAGAATCTCTAAAGGTCTGCCACATTTCATTCCGGCCATCCTTCGTAGTACGACGAGAAATATAGATTCATCGAAAAGGTCGCATGGCGAACAACTCGAGTCGCTGGATCAATTCTTCCTCCAATGATAATACACATGTATGTCTGTATGTCCATAATATCACGCCTAGCTGCGCTCACGCAACCATCTATATCGTCGTTATCACTTTGCGCTTCTGCATTCTCAAAGCTATCGATATTGTTTCGAAACCGAAGTAGCTATCTTACCGGAAGTAAAATGGTTGTTAGTTGAGGTTCTGATGACGGTGTGTCTGTTGCGGAACAATCGAAAGAAGACGAGTTATGGGAGTGAATGGATGCCTTCTAACAGAGATCATAAGCGATAAGAAACGTGGTATTTTCACAATGAGATACGTGATTAAACAAAACATACACATTCTATGCAAAACAGGTATATGAGGAGATATTCCACATCTGGTGAGTGCTATGCTACCTATGCCCTCCTGATGTAAGTCTGTGGACATTGCAGTAGTCTTGGGTGCTGCTCTGAATTCTAGAGATAACACGAACAAGTATTCTTATAAACATGATTGAGGTAAAGCTTTACCTTGCATCTCGCACGACTTCACATAGTTAGCTGTAATTATTTCGAAGCGCAAAACCTGTATGATGTGCCGCAACATCTACTATCGCTCTGCTCTTCGCAGCTGTAACATCAAAGGTACACTCTGAGTTCGTAGGAATTTCATTGATGTTTGTGATACCTCGCTGAAACAAGGTTTTACTTGCACAAATTCCATGGACATAATATACCAATTGCACGAAAGAGGCTGACAGTCGCGCAGTTCCCACATTGCATCACAAGCACTCGGCCCACGCATACAGACACAGCAACATCTCATGTTTTTGTGTCCATCAATTGAACTTCGCACCTATCCTACTCTAGCCCCTTTCCCTCCTTCCCTTCTCCTTCCCTTTTCCACATTCCCCGGACACGACAAAAATCCCGTATCATTCCAGCTGTCGTACAGCAGCAAGAAAAAACAACAACTCCTCTTCTCATCATCATACGCGCGTGACATCCAAGAAACTCGACGCAGACTTTCTAACGTCTAATATTGGGACCAACGACCTGGGATAGGAAGAACATGAAAACCCAAAAACCCCTTTCCAATGCTTGCAAGGGCCCTGTTGCCAACAACCAACTATGCCGCCTGAATCGAGTGGTGAAACTTGGAGAAAAATTTATATGTATACGGTTAAAGGGTATGCGCTGACCAGTGAACTAGGGTTGAGGTCATGAGGCGCTGAAAGATAGTAAGACTGTGGTGGTGTTCGGCGTGGGTGTGGACAGCTGATCAGCCGCGACAGGTGGTATCTATCAGCGGTACCGCGGGCAAGGTGAGTCGACTAGGGTATGGCAGACCACATGATCAATAAGACACATCTCAATTGCTTCATGCTGGATCTTTGGAGGCGTCGTCCGGTGGTGGCTCCGTCTTTCCCTCCTCCTGATTTTGCAAGAGCCGTGCTTGTTCGTTGGGGATATCGCCCTGTTCGTTCTCCTCTCCAGCCATTGGTTCTTCTGATCGCATGATCGCTTCGTCGACCTCTTCCGAAGGGTTGGGCATTGGCGCTTCACCCGATGGCTTGGTGTTGGCCTCGTCGGCACTGTGTTTGCCCCCGTGGAACCAGCCACCCTTCTCCCATTCTCCGGGTTGGTAGAGGCAGTCATGGCGAATGTCCGTGTCGACGATAGCAGCCATGAGTTTGTTGAGCCGATCGAAAGAGATGGGCTTCAGGATCCATGCATCGAACCCAGCGTCGATGTAGCGTTGGCGGTCGCGCTCGATCAGAGAGGCTGAGACTGCAATGATGGGGACGCGGCCGCAGAGGGCGGCTCGGGCTGAGTAGATGTCGGTGTGTAGCTTTTCGAACGATCTTATCATCTTGGTTGAGGTAAGTCCGTCGACGATTGGCATCTTCAAAATTGTTAGTAAAAGGGGCAGGTCGCGGTGAACATTCTACTGACCTGCATATCCATCAAGACAACATCAATGTCTCGTGAATTGTCGCAGTATGCCGACGAACATTCCTCGCCATTGACGGTGAGATGGACCTCATGCCCAAGCTTTTCTAATCGTTTCTTGACAATCCTACTATTCACCGGGTCGTCTTCCGCAACAAGTACGCGCATGTGATCCGAAGTCAGCTTCTCGGGTTCCGCAGACGGTTGTATTGGTGTGTCGCCCTGTACCTCTCCGAGGACACTCCCAGGCTTGGGCCGAGGATCTACCGGACTATCGCCGCCTTCATCAGGCATCTTCAAGGCCGTGATTGGGGCACCGGATCCAGGTACGGTAACTTCCCCTGCGTGATCGGACTGCATGCTTCTCTGGTGTGGAGGTACAGTAGGCTGGCTGCTGATGTATTCAAGGCTCCTAGACCTCATGCGCGCGGCACCGGGATCAAGACTATTGCGTTTCGTCAAGGTCGGTCTCAGAGAGTGTGCGCTTGGGCTTGCATCGCCTCTGCCGATCATGTGCGGCTCTTGTATCGCGTCGATAAGTCTGTCCACATCACTCCTCTGACTCGACCCGCTCTTGAAGCTGCGTAGACTAGTCTTGCTCGTCAGGCTCTCCGCACTAGATCTTCGAATGACCACACCACTCGCCCCACCACTACCACTCGAGCTACTCTTCCTCTCGCTGTCGGAGGTGTGGCGCGACAGGCTCGGGGCAATGAGAGTCCGCTCGCCTTCATCAGGGCCAGGCAAAATGCTCGATAAGGTACTGTCCGGTTGGGGTGTGATGCTACCAGCTGGCGAAGCCTCTGCCGTTGTCACGGCTTCTACCTCGGCGTCTGGAAGGTCGAACGGGAATTGTACGACGAACCTCGTGCCTTTGCCCTCTTCGGATCGAAGCCTTAATTGTCCGTTCATATTCCTGATGATGCGGCCAACGACGGCCAGACCGAGACCCAACGTTGACTTCTCACCTTGCTCGGCAATTTGCTTCTTGTCAGGCACCAACGCATCTTCTAACATGGATGCAGGCTCAGACTGAACTTGCTCCAAGTCATAGAAGAGCTGATCAAGCTTCTTCTGGCTCATACCCCTGCCCGTGTCGGCTACCGCCACCTCAACCTCGACGTGATCTCTGCTGGGCCTTGCTGCAACATAAACCTCCACAGTGACGCTTCCTTGCGTGGTATTCTGTATGGCGTTCGCAGTGATATTGGAGATGGCCTGACGGACTCGCCGTTGATCTCCGATACACAAAGTAGGCAACCCCGGGTGTTCGATAACTTCGTAAGATATGTTCTTCCGCTTGGCGTCGTTCTTGAACATGTCGGTGGCATCCTTGATTGTTTCCCGGAAGTCGAACGACTCGCCCTTAATGAGTGGTCCGCCTTCTTCCGTCTTGGTCAGGTCAAGTAGGTCGTTGATTACGTAGATGAGTGATTTCGACGCTGAGTGCGATCTCGAAAGGTTTTCCCGCGTTTCCGTGTCTAGGGCTCCTTCCAGTGCTATCTCGAGGTAGTTGATAATTGCATTCAGTGGGGTGCGAACTTCGTGCGCCGAGTTTGCCAGCAATAATCGGGTCAGCTGACTACTCTGCAGCGCAGCTTCTTTTTGCCTCCAGACTTCAATGAACTTTCCGTATACCAAACATAGCACTGAGGCGGTCTCAATCTCTTCTTCCGTCCATTCGCGGCACTTTCCAACGACGGTCTCGGACCACGTTTTGAAACTCTTTCTTGGCTCCAAGTAACCCTCGGTGCCCTCTTTGATGAACTTTTCGTATGGGTTGCCGGCCCATTTCACCTCCTTCAGTTGTCCTTTCCTGAAGAAAACGATAAAGTCCTCGCCATCTACCGACAAGGGGACGATTAGCATGCCTGCTATGACATGGAAACCGGGCGGGTATCGCAGATCGGGGAAGTCCGAGATGATATCTATGGAAGTCATGACCGATTGTATTTTCCTCATCCTGAGGTACTCTAACATGGCAAGTGCTTCTTGAGAGTTTTCTAGAACGCCAAGGATCTTTGTCTCGTCACGGATCGAGAGTAAACCAAAGTCGGCATCGAACAGTTTCAAGAGATCATCAGAGGAGGCGATGATGTATCCGGAGGGGTTATGTTGTGTTGGTACAGTATTGATGAGTTTCCTGGCCTGTAGTCTTGACGCATACGATAATCTTTCGATGTTTCTCGATGCTGCATCGCCGACCATGCGACACATCTTTCGAATAGGAAAGGATACGCGCATACCACGAGGCCCGTACGAATGGCAGGCAATAAGACCCCACAGCTCATTGAATGCGTTGATGGAGATGGACATTGACGATCTTACGGCCATGTTCGCAAGATATTTGAGATGAATTGGTGACATGGCGCGAAGATACGAGTGCGTGAGATCGAGAGGGCTTTCCAAATCTTCGGCGGTACGGCAAACGAGCCTTGCGGTTGTTAGGTCTCGATCGTAGAGCATGCGTACCTTGTTTAGCTTGTATAGTTCTCGAGCTTGCTTTGGAATATCGGAAGCAGGGAAGTTCAGCCCCTTGTACAGATCCTTTGTCGCTCGCGGGTCAACAAGTTCGGTAACGACACGGCCGTTGAAAGTTTGGTCGAATTGATATATCATGACGCGATGGAAACCAGTTAGTTCCTTGACAACGCCCACAAGAACCTTGAGAAACTTTTCCAATGATGGTGCCGCAGCCAGCTGTTCTTGCACCTGGGACATGATGTTGAAGACCTCCATCGCAGCAGCTTCACCCTTCCTTTTCCGCGCGCTACGCAGGACGCGCAAGGGCTTGCTCTTGATTTCTGTACTTTCGAGTAGTTCCTCCGCCGTAGGCTGACTGGACAAAGTATCTTCCGGCAGCTCTGGAGTAAGGTCATTGGGCGGCACCAGCGGGTATAGAGGATCTTCTTCAAGCTCGAACTCGCAAATAACAAGTCCAGGATTTGTATCGTTGATGTGGATGGCGCACCACAGCTTGCGAGTTCGATTGTAGCCTGCCACTTTGATGGACATAGTGAAGACTTCGGGCCCATTGGACGTGACGTCGGAGTCCTCGTCTTTGATGAAGTCGATGTGGTCCAAGAGATTATCGGCTTGCTCTTCGGATAGAATGTCGGTAAAGCTCTCTAGTGCGAATAGCTCCTTCGGGGTGCGTCCTAATATGCGTTTAGAGTTTTCACTTACGACGCGCACCAACAGACTTCCTTCCGGGTCGTCTTGCAGTGCCAGTAGCAGACCAAAGCCTTGCACGGCGCCCGGCAGATGGATGGGCTCATCCTCGCAGCGCTGTAGGGTATCGCCCTCACGGCCTGTTATGACCATGTGTCCTCCCTCAGTCGTGACGTGCTTGAACCGATGTGTCACCAGTCCGCCCATATCCAAGCTGCTGATACCACTTTTGGCAGAAGCACCCCCAATTGACGGTGCCCGTTCGGCTCTGGACCCCGGTGACCGACTGCCTTCCTGTGCGCTTCCGCCTGACTTTGTTGACGACAGATCGTTGAACAAATTTTGGGGTATTTGAGGGGCGGCCCTTCTCGAGCCGTCAGCTCTTTGAGTGGATTGGAAGGACGAGCGCTGTGTATCGGAGCCTGTGTCTGCTTTGGTACCCCCAGGACGCAAACCCCAAGCGCGCTGCGAGCCATGTGAAGCCTGTGACGTAGTCGATCCCTGAGAAGCTCGGCGGGAGTCGCTTGTGAAGCGCGAGTCGTTTGTTCGCGAATATGGGTGGAAGTAATCGCCCTGGGAATGACCACCCTTTGGTGTGGGAGTAGGGTCGACGCTGATGGCGCTCCGTATGGGAAAGACACGGTCGGTAGCGGAGGGGCTCATGGCACCTTCGTTACTAGGGCCCCCAGACGCAGTGCTGTTCGGTGGCAGAGCGAAGTCGGCGGCCTTTGGTGCAGCGTCGGGCGTAGCTGGCTCTTCGGGCACGGGCGACACGGTGGAGAAGTTGAAGCGGCCATCGCTTGGTGTATTAGGACCAAGGTTGGGGGTTTGCTGGGGTGATTGAGACATGGAGCTGTGTGTCGTCGATCAGGCGAGCACGCCGGCGGCAGGGTGAAGAGTGCGCCGACGGCCTGGCTGTTGGTAGGAATAGAGGCACCCGCACACGGTGGGATTGTGCCTTCAGGCGTCCATGGGCGTCTGGTGGTCGCTAACGTGTGGTGTGGATAGTTGCGAGGATGCTCTCAACCGCAGACAAGGTCACTTGGCGTTATGCAGGGACCGCGTGAGGGTGGCGAAAGACGGACAATCCCTAATAGGAGTCTCGTTTCTTTTGCCAGAGGGGGATGGTGGGCGGGCCTAGCAGCCTCATGAAGTTGGCAGAGTTGCTGCTGCTGGGAGACGTAGTGGCGTGCGGAGGGGCGAACGAAATCTGGACCGTCCAGGGCAGTCAAGTGCGAGGCATGCAACCGTTGGAGTGGATGGAAAGCGACAGGAGGACGGACACAGGCAGAGATGTGCAACGACCAGGCTGGCTCCTAAGCTGCACTTGTGCAGACACAACGACGGCAGCGCGTCACCGTCTAGTTGATGAGATAGATGACTGCCATGCGTTGCCTTGAATGGCTTGATGCGCCTCCAGATGTCGATCGCGAACGTCTTGGGTTAAGTCGCTCTATCTCTGCGATCGACGATCTAAGCTCAGAGCAGGTAGGTTAGGGGCGAGATGCAGGTTAGGCCATGAAAGTTCTTAGCGACCGGAGCATGGATATTCGACAGTTTTCCATCATCAGCGGCCTCGGACCCACTCGCGCGCGGGAATTAGGGCAGACAAGCGCTACGTCATCGGTGAGATGCACCACGGCTGGCTCGACGCCGAACGTGGAGTGTGTTTGGTGAGACGCGGCGGCATCATTGCGACAGTCACCTGCTTGTTTATTGTCCTCAACACCATAAGAGGCGTCGGCTAATGACACCCGGGTCTCACAACCATATCCATGACAGGTGTCAGCGGGCTCCGAGGGCTCCAGACACTCTCGCAGCAAGAGTGGTACGCTGCCTCCCGCGGAATTATCCTGTCCCCAGAATATTGGGATTGCCCACGGCAGACGGCCCCGGGGGCAGGATGCGCCGATCTCACGTGATTCCGGCCCGTGGCGTGCAAAAGTGTTTCGACGATCAACGCGCCAAGCTCTGACGAATTCATGGACCAACGATGCACCATGGAATCACTTCATGTTTGACGCGTACATGTAACGAGGTCGGGCCTTTGAATGCGGCCGTCACCACCGTTCGCGACAATATGGCATCAATGGCTTATGTCCCCAAACGTCCATGCACCCTTCGTGCCTGACACTGCCTGGGCTTGGCGGCAGCGACTGACAGCAACGTGGGGCAGCGGCCAATCGCGGTCTAACGTAACGGTGAATCGATGTCTGGAGGCACTCACCGCAACCTACTGTACAGACTCCCACACGCCACCCCTCAATGTCCTCGCAAACACCCGCGCGAACGCTAAACGTCCTCGTCGCCCTCACTGACCCCTCGGCCTTCCGCTTTGGCTGCTCCATCGTTGCGCGCCTGCATCGCCTCCAGCATGTTTCGCTGAAGATCATCGCATGCAAGGACTTCCCGACCACGACGCACACGACTGTCCCGCCCCAGCTCGAGCCCGTCTGGTACACGTATGACCCCGAGAGCGACACGACGCCCGAGTGGCAACATGTCGACTATCAGGAGACCAACGTGGCAGAGTACTGCTCATGGGCCGACTTGCTCGTCCTCGCACCGCTTGACGCCGAGAATCTCGCCCGCATGCTCCATGGATTCACAACAAACCTGCACCTGAAGATCTTGCGCAGCTGGAATGTGTCAAAGAAGATAATGCTCATACCGGGCATGTCCACGCTGATGTGGGAGAACCCCATGTCGAGGAAGCAGATCAGCAAGATACGGCGGAAGTGGAACTGGATCCGCGTACTCCCTCCGTTCTTGTGGTCTTTCGACCATTCCGGGCGCAAGTACCACCCATGGGTAGAAGGGCACAAGGCTTTCAATGAATCTATACAAACCCAGATCGATTTGATGGCCGTTGGTGATCGCACTATCGCACTACCTATTGCCCATCTCCCAACACTGACACCTACGCGAAGCAAGGGGTCTCGGCTGCCGCCAGAGCTCTGGTCCATCATCCTGGAATTTACCAAGGACTGGGAGCTGGCGACTACATTGAATGTCCACACAAATTTGCCCATACCGAAAGAGTGGCGACAATCGGCTAGCGACGAAGGCCCCAAGACGCAGATGCAGAAGATAGAATGGGCGCTTCTCACCTATCCCTATTCGGAGATCAAGGCTGTGTTTGACTCCGAGAACCCCACTCGCATCTCCCGCGTATGCATCGAACTCATCATGCGCTTTGCCATGGTACCCGTTCTTGCGCATCTTGAAAAGTTCCACAAGGAGCTCTTCTGGGGCACATTCGGGCACACATTTCTACCCCACAAGGCTTCTGTGTTTGGCAAAACGGAGATTCTCGAGTACTGGCGGACGTCGCCTACCTTCCTTACCAAGGAGTACTCTGCGGAAGCCATTGACAATGCGAGCCGCACCAACTCGGTCCAGGCCCTTGACTGGTGGTATAACTCTGGCCTCTCACTGAAATACACAGAAGCTGCGCTCGAGCAAGCTAGCTCGCAGGGCCACATTCACGTACTCAAGTGGTGGAAGGAGCACAGCCGTTACAGGACGGCCCCCTCGGTACCTTCATCACCAATCGATGAGCAAGCTCCTAGCAGACCCCGCCAAGACGACTTACCTCTCAAGGTGGGCAAGTCCATCACCTACGCAACACAGTCAGGCTGCCTACCCGCGATTCACTTTTGGGTTGAATCCGGCATTCCCTTTTCGCATGAAGATACAATAGCCAAAATCGCCTCGACCCATGGCCACACACATATTCTAGACTACTGGCGTACCCTTCGCGGCGAGAAAATCCTTTTTGACAACCAAGTTCTCGTAGGACCGACCAAAATGGGCCATGCCGGCGTGCTAGAATGGTGGAAGCGCAGCGGCCTGAAGGTGGAGTACAAGACTTGTGACATCGAAGAAGCATTAGAGGATGGTGTTGAGGGAGCGCGGGGAGATGCCGTGCGAAGATGGTGGGCATTAAACGGATTAAACCTTGGGATAGGAACTAGCGAGTGGATGAAGATTAAGGTCTTGGGGTCGTGATGGTGAATCAGGGAGGCGGAGCAGGTGTAGACGGTATCATAGCATTATAGCATAGCAAGCGACTTTTCTGAGAACCATCCTGATTATCATTTCATACGAGGGAAAAATTAAACACCTACCTTCTCGAAGTATACATTGCCTTAGAGAATATGTACGTTCCATGTTTTATACTAATGTAGACGACAGAGCACCCGTTCAGTCCTCTCTTTGCATGAGGTGCTATTCCCATTGCCAGCGGAATTGACTACTCAAAAAGACCGCAAGCCCCGCCGACAGGGTCTTCTTACCCGTTGTGGCCGGAGCTCGGAAGCCTTGGGTCGGTGAGAGCCTGAGCCAATGGCTGAACAGCAATTTGACTTTGAGCGCTCGCGCCTGTGCAACGCCTAAACCGACCTCGGGAGAAGCTAGCTAATCAACCCGCTACAACTGTGCACAACTTCTTATCCGCCGTGCTGTTCATTCCCATCTGACCACCTCCACGTCAACGCAACCGTCTCCCGTCCAATTCTTCTCCCCGCCTCGACGTACGCAAGCACACGACCTCGGTTTTCCGCCTTAAGACCACGTACCCCGAATTTCCTCTTCCACCACCACAATGTCTGCCGACAAGGAATTCACCTACTCCGACGTCTCGGAGCACAACACCAAGAAGGACCTATACATCGTCGTTCACGACAAAGTCTACAATGCATCGAGCTTCGTAGACGAGCACCCGTACGTTCGCTGCCATGCCCTGCCCGCTGCGCAATGCCCACCTCGGCATTCGCATACTCATACTTGTTATGGCGAAAAGCCCCGCCTTCACATGTGTCGGGTCAATGCTATCACAAAAGTCGCTAATGTGTATACAGAGGTGGTGAGGAAGTTCTCCTCGATGTCGGAGGCCAGGACTCAACAGAAGCCTTTGAGGATGTCGGTCACTCAGATGAAGCCCGTGAGATCCTCGATGGGCTGCTTGTTGGAAACTTGAAGCGTCAGGTACGACATCCCCCACATACACATATAACCCGACTCCCACTTCCTCCCTTCACGTACACAAAACAAACCCCCCCGAAACATCACACATCTGCATCCCGCGCCCCCAGATGCCGCGCCCAGATGCCGGTCCGAGGGTCAAGGAACTTCTTCGGAACGATTCCGCCCACCATGCAGCGGAAAAGAAACAACCCGTTCTCCGTATCCACAAAACAGAAACAACAATACTGACGACTGAAAAACAGGAGGGCGACCCAAAGCCCAAGAGCTACGCGCAACCCGGCACAACCGCTACCACCACCGACGGCGCATCCACCGGTGTGGGTCTCTACGCCATCATCCTGCTTGGTGGTGCGCTTGCATTCGCTGCCTACACTATGATGAACAAGCAGTCTTCTGAGTAAGATTCTTCACGTGAAGGGGCGATACAGCATAACGAATACCATGGATGAGGTTTTCGGACCTGAATGGGCGAGAGAGGAAGTCCCGCTTGGACAAGACAATGGGACTGGGGTATATCTATACAGAGGCGGTGCCATGTGGTATTGATCGCATGGAGGAGTATATTTTATATATGGCGTAGGCTGCGTTTCGAGCTTTCATCATGCTGCGGACGAGCTATTGGAATAGATCGGTTTAACTTTCTTCTATTTTGGGTTGCGTACGTGTTCTGACGACCCACAAGATGACATGGCAGTTCTACGCTGTATATTTCCGATATACTTACCTCCCCCTCTAAAAGGATACAGCTTCGTGCTACCAACTATGTAGGAAGAGAGAATTACAAACACAATCTCGCTCTGTTCAGTCAAAATCCTTCAATGCATCCAATACCAGCTAATGTGAAGTACAAGTCTGATATT